TCACCTAGAGGGTATCCTGCGACACACTTAGGCTCAAGCTGTAAGAGAAAATTCCAATTAGCAGAGAAATTAATTTGAAAAATTACCTTGACGTTTCGATAGCTATTTTTGCTTCGTTATCAAAAAAATCTAAATGAACCTAAAAACGAGTATGTTAATAAATTGTGTAACAATAGTAGGATAATACAGTATATGAAAATTCCCTCTGATAATTCGTCTGTGCAAATTGTCAGTTATGTGACTTTGACTTAATCTCATTGTTTAAATTAATAAAGGTAATGTTAATTAATAATTTTGGTGTAAATTTTAAAAAACTTGAGGAAATTCTGTCTTTTTTAAAGACAAAAATTTTTTAGGCGAAATACCCAAAAAGAAGTTTGTAAAAAAATGAATCCGCCTCAACAATATAGAACTTATCTATTATTATTTTAGGTACTAGAAATTATAGTCGATAAGTATTGCTTTAACTCGAAAGTTTTATTTTGCTATGACCAACTGCCAACATTGTTTATACCTGCAATCGAAGATCACCAAGATTCTAAGTTTAGATTTTAAAAAATTCAGTGCATTGATGCAAATTTCTTTTCTAATTATATGTTCCAAAAATTTCAAAGATGTCTGATTTTCCTAATTTTAAATTGAAGAATCAATTCTTTGTTCTTCCAGGAAAATAGCGCAGCAAACAGCAGTATTTGCGGAGATCTATCTGTAAATTGTCGGACTTGCTTTCAGGATGCACGGTATCGGACTAGTAAACTTATTTTAAACAATATTTTTTAATAAGACTGTTATGTTCTCTCGAAATTTATTGGTCTCAGTATGTCCTCATCTCTAGATAAATCATCCCATGTTCGGATTTAAGCAAGGTCTGCCCATAGCATGTCCAAATGTTTCATCGTATGCACGTTTCGTAGAACATCTAGGCCAATTTATTGACGATATAACCACAAGTTTTCTAATTTACTTGCATAAACGATCAGTAATAGTTTATTTATCATTTAACTTGGTCGCTTTTAAGAGTAACAAAAATGTAACTTATTTCAGACCGTTTAAAGCGTAGAGGAGTTTTTCTAAAATTAAAATCTTTCTAGTATCTTTCGTATCATTTTCCACTAATTTTTATCAATGAAAATATCTACAATTAATTCTTTAATTAATCCTAATGTTCTCATTCTCCTTCCTTTGAACGCAAGTATCAAAATAACCCTCGTATTAACAAAGATCATTTATGTCTTTTTTGATGCGCTATGTTCCTGCCTATGGGTCCATGTAATCTCTTCTGAATGTGATAAATAATTAATGCTTTCTCAGATTCCCTGCGACGATAGCCCAGCAGTGATTCTGTGTACACCTAATACGTGTCTTGTATTTATATTTAAATACACGACATGTCGTTAGTTACCTAATTACCATATTATATGTCATATCCGTTGTCTGTTGTTGAGAGTTCGTGTCAATACCTCGTTTATTATATTTTGTTGTTCTTTACGAGTATGAAACGTAATCGTGCCTTCCTTCACACACAAGGAAATATCAATCGAATTAGGTGGGTTACAAAACGAACCAAACGTATGCATGAACGGAGTTTCTTAACATAAAATTTAATAGATAAAATTAACACCAATAAAAGAATACGTTGTTGACAAATTCCGAAACTTTTAAAAGCTTTCAACTTCTGAAAAGTTGGACAGGAATTGCAAAAATCTCGAAACAGCGTGTCCCGGAATATGTGGGCATGCTCTCGGATTTATACAGGGGACGTTAAGAAAACATAACAAACCTGATAATCGATTTTTTAAATAATTTTCAGAATACTTTATGCAATTTAATTATTTTTTCATACAATGAACATTGCCGTATTGAATACGGATTTTAATGCATGCATTGGTGGGCTGTGTTCTGTGTTTTTTGTTATTTATTAGTTTTATAGTTTGCCACTTTTTGCAACTTTAAAATTTATCTCATTCTTAAATTATAATACCTTCCGTAAATAATTTTAGGAAAGTTTGCCAAAGCCAAATAATTGTGGAAACCAAGTGAACCCCAATGCGGTTGCTGAAGAAAATATTTTAAATGCGGTAGAAGCAGATCCTTCAATAAGTGTCCGGAAATTAAGCGCCCGGTTTCATTGTCCACGCAAGGTCCACAGTTTTTAGGATCGTCAAGGAACAGAAATTGCATCCTTTTCACCTACAAAAGGTTCATGCACTTCTTTATGCAGATCTTTCACGTAGGATGGAATTTTCAAACTGGCTTTGACGTATGCACAGAAATAATGCAAACTTTGTCGGTTCAGTCATGTTTACCGACGAAGCTGGATTTTTTAAGCATGGAGTAATAAACTCTCATAACTTTCATTTATGGGCAGAATAATATCCGCATGCTTTTAGTGTGACTCACCATCAACACCAGTTTCAACCTATTATTAATGTATGGGCTGGAATCATCGGACAACATTTAATAGGACCATACAAGGGCGGATCCAGGGGGGGTCATGGGGGTCATGACCCCCCTTGTACTGGGTTTTTAAAGACTAACGAGAAATTTTCTAATTTCATGGACAACAAAAGATTGAATTTCCACTAGTTGACCCCCCCCCCTGACTCAAAAGCTGGATCCGCCCCTGGGGTCATACGTATTGCCTTACTTAGTTAATCTATGGTATTGCCTTACACGTTGACCGGAGCACTTTATTTGGAATTTCTCCAAAACCATTTGCCAGAACTTTTAGAAGACTTACCTTTCGCAAAACGACAGGCGATGTGGTTCATGCATGATGAGGCACCACCCCATTTCAGCCAGGCAGTTCGAAAACACTTATACGTAAATCAGAAAACGTTGTATAGAAGAGGAGGGCCCGTCGCTTGACCTACTCGATCGCCAGATTGTAACCCTTCTGATTTTTTTCAGGATATTTCAAAACTTTAGTGTATGCCATTGCTTTTGACACTAGGGAAAACTGATTAGAAAGCATTAATTTTCATTACGGTCAAATAAGAACCAATGTTCAAGCATTGTGGAGATCGCAACAATCTACAATTCTTCGAGCTGGGGAGTGCAAACGATGGGAAGGAGCTCATGTTGAACCTACATACAAAATTGTTCAGTAAATCAGTATTCAATAAAAATATTTTTTCCTACCTAAATACATTATTTTCGTGTCTTCATTGTAAAATGTAAAAAAATTTACTATTATTGTGCTCCACCTAGTCCATCCCTGGCAAACCGAAATGCTAAAAATGTTTTAATGTGTCTTTTTTAAAAGGAATGATGTACTGTTCATTGTATGAAAAAATAATTAAATTACACAAAGTATTCTAAAATTTATTTTAAAAAAATCGATTCTCAGGTGGCTCCTTTAGTGGCCTGTATCTCCTTAGGGGGGCGCTCTGGAAATTCTTTGATAGAAACTTGTTATGTTCTTTTAACGTCCCCTTTACAAATCTGAGAGCATGCCCACATATTCCGGGACACCCTGTATATGTTTCGATTTTTCAACCTAAAAGCACTTTTATTAAGGAATACATCTGGTGTAATATTAGTAGTTTATCAGTTATCGCACCATTTGTATTCAGAAAATAAAACAAAATAAAAATAATTAACGGCTTGACAAGATATTAACAAATTAGTGAATATATTTACAAAATAATTCGTTGATTTGTTGTTGAAATATTGGCGTTACAAATTCTGAGGCAGGATAACCGGTCCTCCAGTGGAATGTTTTGAAGTAATTTGTAAAAATTTCGGCTGTTGCAGGCCTCACGTACCGATTACAGAACCATGAACAGCATGAAAGCTCATAAATTTAAGCAATTATATAACTCAAACAGCTTTTAAACACGTTCATTTAACGATAAGAATTTTTTGTTACATTTCAAGTTTATAGCGTTTGAAATTCAGCAAATAAAATCAGTTTTTTACAACAGGCCAATCCCTTACGCATATTTTCAAATTAAAATGATGTCAATAATCATAAATATGTCTGAAAGTCAGTAGCAAAATTTAAAAGAACAATACACGTTAGTTCGAACCATAAAGTAACTGCTACTGGGAAATCCAATTATCATAGAAACAATTCCGTGTCATAATATATTACTTGTCAATTCAATTAATCGCTTTTCATCTGTCCACATATTTGTAGTCATTTGCCTCTTGCATCACTTCGATCTACCCAGAATTGATTTGCAACTACTACTACTACATATTGAAAATCCGCATGGATTCAAACGTTTTCCATCTGACAAAATGCAGATCCTTTATAAAGAAATGAGAATATAAGACAGTGACTAAGTTGTTTGACAAATATGCGTGATAATTAAGCATAGGATTTAATTAATGTATAAATATGAAAATGCACCTAGGCGGATTGATTAATAATAGTCATGATTTTTTTATATAACGTCTTATTGCTTTGAGACGTTTTTTTCTTCGATTTTTCTTTTAATAGACTTTTTTTTAGTTTACTTTAATTACATTACAGTGATTAAATTTGAATATATCAAAAGCGCAAAGGATGATCGATTTAAAAAATTACAAACTGGAAGCTCATTAGAAACAGACAAATAAAGTGTGGAGCCCTTTCAATATAAAAATCCAGAATATCAATTATTTAGTTTGGCAATCTTATGTAGGATTTAACTGGTATAATTATTAATGGAGAAATTATTTTGTTTTACCTTTTGATCCTTACCTATTTACAAGAAAAGTCTATTTTTATTTTAAAAGCAAATAAAGCAGAAATAAAATTTGAAGTCGTTGAAGAACGTTGTCGAACAAGCATTAATTTACATGTTTGATCAAAGAATCAATTAAGTTCTTCCTTAAGCATGGATGGTGTACATATAGGCACAGTAATTGCAGGAAGTCCTTTCTCTAACCCTAGTATTATTATGGCTGTAATAAAATTGCTGTATGTAACAAATTATATAGACGCTAAAGCTAATAACACATCAAAATATTCACCCAGCTATCCAATCTTCACTGACCAAATAGTGTTTAACAAATTAGTGATACCACAATTTTCACAGTGTGTAATTTAAATCAACTTATCTGTACAAGTGCGAAGAAGAGTTATTAATTTTATGAAGTAACCCAGATGTGGCATAATGGCAGCAGAACCGAAATGAACGCCCTCGGACATATATTGTGCAATTACAGTCGTTCTCATGTCAATTAAAAATAATTCGAGCTGTGAAGCTTCCGAAAATCGCGTTTTATATGCTAATTTATGACAAAATGGATTTTTCAGATTAACACAATCAGTAAAAGCGGCATTTTAAACAAATATGTACCAGAAAGTTCCAAAATGTACGGCAAGTCTTTTTACCTAATTAATTATCATTTTGGTCGTAATGAAAACAACGAAGGATAAATTTAAGTTGATTTGCACATTGCCTTTTGAGAGTAATATCTGATAATGAGAAGCTTGAAAAATGCACTTAATTTGGAAGGAGAATATTGGTAAACTTACCAAATATGAAATAATTGGTTGCTGATATGGAATGGTCAACTAGATAAGTTCTGCTACTACCACTTAGGCTGTACCATTTTTTGTAGCCTTTGCCACAGTGAACTTATTATTGTTTAGGTATTTCATGTCAGATAAAAGTCACATTTTTATCTTTAACTTGAAACATTCATTGCATTATTTTCTCATAATGATCTTTGATATTTTTACCATTTAACTAGCGAAGCGAAGCAGGTACCAAGTCTTGAGTCAAATCCAGCCGCTCGAAGTTTGAAGGGGCGGCGGTTGGTGATTTATTTATTTTACCTCATCTGTAGGGTTTGGTATTTGTTAATAACTAGTTTATTTGAAATATTTTCATGTGTACATACACGATAATTTATTAAGGATGGGAAGTGCGGAAAGTGGAGATACTACACGTCAAATTATGGCAATTGACGCCCTTATTGGCTTTTATCAAAAGTTGATATTTTTGGAGAGGCAAGTCGTAATTTTAATTCATTTTTTTTTGCTATTGTTCCGGAAATTTATGGGTCAGGAATTTTAAATTTTGTGACGACAGTTTTGTTTCAGTGGCGCATAAAGTACGTGTTGCAATTTCTGCATTGCTTGTAAAGGCGCTACATGCAAATTTTTATAATACGCTAAAATTAAATACGTTTTTAATAGGTTTTCGTAATACGCGACACAAATCAATTTACAAAAATCAATCAAATGTCCATCTATAGAAACAAGTAAATAAAGGCTTCGGCTGGCAGAGAACTAAATGTGTTGTTGTGTTAGTGACTCTTTGAACACTAACTAGCTATTGTAAATTTGAAAATGCGTTTTTCACAACGAGTTGGCCAATCAAAACAAAACAGAGTATGTATTTTGCACAAGAAATAATGAAAAGCCTTGCCTCAGCTCGAAGATATTTAGATATGTTCCAAACCCGTAAACAACCAAACCAGAAGAGTAGCTCAGCCTACAATTTGGAGAATTTAGTAAAAAGGCAAATTGTATGAATTTCATTTAAGAATAACTGTGGTTTATGCAAGATGAAGCTCTACCAGATCTTGCGGGCCTACTTGGATGCAATTTTTGCAAATCACTGAATTGGTCGTAGGAGCGTCATTGCTTGGCCACGCAGAAGTCCGGACTTCCTCTTGATATTTCAATTTGGTCTCAAATGAAAGATAGTTTACAAAGATCATATTGGCTTGCGTGAAGAAAAACAAGTCGCTTTCTATGAAATCAAAGCCAATCCCAATATGTTGATCCAAACTCAAAGGATTCTCACAAAACGCTGTATAAAGTATATAAGTGTAAATGGTGGTCACTTTAAACAATGAATTTAAGTAAATATTGCGGATTTTCAGTACGTAAAATACATGATTTTGCCCTAGTTTTATATTCGCGTGTTATTAAAATCTATCGTTCGTTAAATTCATTTATCTCAATAACGTATATATCGATATAATAACGTATATATCGATATAAAACAAGACTTAGTTTATATGAAACATATGTTCATAACAATAGCTCTTTTCCATTTTAGACTGATTGTCATGTTACACTTACAGAGTGAAAAGTGATGGCTCTAAATGCTGGCAATATTGATCGCAAGCAGCACTCGCTGTGTCTTTAAAAACCTGTGGTCACATAATTTCAAGTCTTCGCCCAGATATTTTAAAAATAATAAAGTAAAACACCTTGTATTTCCAAATATATCAGCTATCGGATAAGCCCTCCTTACGCCAATGGGTCCTATTTAACGTGTAGGATCTCCAGTTTCCAGATTTCTTATACCGAATGAATCTTTCCTTATAAAGTATGAAGTCTAATTCTTTTCTCTTTACTGTAACGTAAGTCTTACTTGATTGAGGATTTTCTCCATTTTTCCTCTTTGTTATTGACAGCAGACCCTGAGTATTATTCTATAATAAGTTTCAGTTGGTTACTTGAAATATCTGATCAGTTTGCAATTTGGTTATTTCAAGTACTGTTCCGTAGTTTCAAGTAAGTCCGAGTTGAAACTTGATTGTTTGAAATAAGACCACGCCACTGATTGTCGGCCGGCTCGGAAGTCTCTTTGCGACGCTCCACGGCCTTGCGAGGGGAAAGTGGCCCCCCCAGGGCACGGCGTGGTCAGCCTTGGGTCCCGTTACCAACCAGTGCAGTTCGTTCAATTATAATCAAGAGCAGAACTTCAGCTTTTCAAATAAAGCAATTAATCTATGCAGTTATACTCCAATTAACACCAGATTTTGTCTAATAGTGTTGTACAAATAGAGCTGAGATAATGTGATCTTGACATAGCTCGTTCTAAAATTGAGCTTGTATTATTTTCTTGATTACATTGGGTCTTTTTGACTTACTCTTCTGAAACTTTAGAGCTTACATTTTTATCAACTGACGTGTTACTTTACTTTTTCGTATTTGAGGAGATTTGTCGATAGATTGGGATAAACCAAATCGTGTTGAATAACCCTAAAATAGTTAGCGAATAAGTCTAAATAGTTAGTACAGAGATTAGATTTCATTTAAAAAGTACCATCATGATTGTCCTCACATGTCAGTAATGGAACTGTTATCGATTTTTGGGTAAAATCGATTTTATCACTGAAAAGAACGATAGTCTAAAATAGTACAAATACGGGAAGCATAATAAAGTCAAGTGTTGCCGAGATG